CATAGAAAAAGAAGCCCTGGCCTTTAGTGTTTTCCTTATAACACTTTGACGTATACCTCGGTATACTCCTCCATGTTAAATATTTATCTCAGACCATATCCTCTAACTTTCATAAATTCTATGAAAAATCAAAAAATGTTAGAATATTACGCTGGCTTAAAGGATCCAACCTTACCGGCTCCATTTTTTCACATAAAGGGTTCGAGCAACGTGTTAGCCGATGCTCACTCTCGCTCCTATATATGGCCTAACAACGAAATTATTTGCATTCAAAGCAGAGTTTTCTGGACCATTTCTAGCAAGTGGATGCTAACCTTGGAATGAAGTACCTCCATCCCAATACCAATCTTGTTGGTTTCTTTCTACACCATCACATCTTAACGCCGAGATATTTGCTTGTGGGCCGGGTGTCCAAGCCCTATGGTTAAGCCTTCTTTAATATACATTGCGGTTATTTCCTTTAATAGCTAAATGAAATGAACGTCCTTGTTTTATTAAGACTAATTCTTATTAACAAATTATTATAATTTATGTAACATGCCATGATAAGTTTAATTGGAGTATAGTAACCTGCCTGCCGCCCCCGGTGGCGGTGTATAGTTACCGTGATGTTCCGATGGTTAACCCCCCCTTTCATCCTCCCCCCCCTTTATGTTCAACTACCTACTATGTTGGTGAGTCACGTCACGTGACCCACTTTACTTGTAGGCTCAAGGATGAGGACAGCAGTGAAGAAGTAGCCGCCACGAGAACACTCCTGCTCGTCTCTGTTAACTGGCCACGGTTTATTATGCCGGCCTGGACATATCCTGTTTTTATTCTGACGCTTTTCCAATTGGAAACAAGACTTTATACATTAAAGATAATCTCCATTGATATATATGTTATATCTAGGATCTCCTCCTAATCGTCTGTTATGAAAGCCTTATGTATATGTTGGATACTATAGAAGAAACATGCATACTTAACTTATATACGATAATTCGTATATTATTTCTGGCTTTTATTGTATTATGAATATACTTAATTAAAATTAGGCATTCCGGAGGATCACTATTATTACCCTAACCTCTCTGACCAAAATTGTTATGCTCTAAAAAGAAGGAAATAGTGGATACAATACTTGGAGTGTAACATTAGTGATGTAGGAATGTGGGAAGTCTGAGACATTGTTAGTGATGTAGGAATGTAGGAAGTCTGAGACATTGTTAGTGATGTAGGAATGTAGGAAGTCTGAGACATTGTTAGTGATGTAGGAATGTAGGAAGTCTGTGACATTTTTGTGAGTAGAATGTAGAAGTCTGAGACATATAGAAGATGTAGGAAGTCTGAGACATTGTTAGTGATGTAGGAATGTAGGAAGTCTGAGACATTGTTAGTGATGTAGGAATGTAGGAAGTCTGAGACATTGTTAGTGATGTAAGAATGTAGGAAGTCTGAGACATTGTTAATCACTTATTCACATATTTACATCTTTAAAAAGATGTCATTTAAATAAGTAATTTCATTCTTTTTCTTGAGAAAATTTAAACTGCGTAATTCAGATTTATTCTCTTTGTGTTGTGTGTGTGTGTGTGTGTGTGTGTGCGCGTGCGCGCGCGCGATGTGTGTGTGTTTTGTGCGCGTGCGCGCGCGCGCATGTGTGTGTGTGTGTGTGTGTGTGTGTGTGTGTGTGTGTGTACTCACCTAATTGTGGTTGCAGGGGTCGAGACTCAGCTCCTGGCCCCGCCTCTTCGCTGATCGCTACTGGGTCCTCTCTCTCTCTCTGCTTCCTGAGCTTTGTCATACCTCTTCTTAAAACTATGTATGGTTCCTGCCTCCACTACTTCACTTGCTAGGCTATTCCACTTGCTGGCAACTCTATGACTGAATAAATACTTCCTAACGTCCCTGTGACTCGTCTGAGTCTTCAGCTTCCAGTTGTGAACCCTTGTCCCTGTGTCCCCTCTCTGGAACATCCTATCTCTGTCCACCTTGTCTATTCCCCACAGTATCTTGTATGTCGTTATCATGTCTCCCCTGACGTGTGTGTGTGTGTGTGTGTGTGTGTGCTTGGATATGTGTGTATGTGTGTGTGTGTGTGTGTGTGTGTTGTGGTCTGTGTGTGTGTGTGTGTGTGAATAAGAAGACGATGAAGAAGAAAACGAAGGAAATATGGAATAGCGCAATAGCTAAGAGCATAACAGATGGTTACTCATAGGTCCTTCACAGCTTCCTAAATGGTTGCTCAAAGGTCCCTCACAACTTCCTAGATGGCTACTCGTAGATAATGTTATATAAGGTCCATAGTGTTATCTTAGGTCCATAGTGTTATCTTGTTTGTATATAAGGTCCATAGTGTTATCTTAGGGCCATAGTGTTATTAAGGTCCATAGTGTTATTTAGTTCATAATTTTTATATAGGTCCATAGTGGTTTTCTTAGGTCCATAGTGTTTCTGAATCATACGTCCATTGTTATCATAGTCCATAGTGTATCTTAGGTCCACAGTGTCATCTTAGGACAATAGTGTCATCTTAGGTCCGTAATGTTATCTAAGGTCAATAGTGTCATCTTAGGTCCAATGTTTATCCTAGTTTATAGTACTTTTATAGTGTTTTCCTAAGTCCATAGTGTTATCTTAGGACCATAGTATTATCTTAGGTCCATAGTGTTATCTTATGTCCACAGGTTTATCTTAGGTCAACATAGTCACCTTCTACTTGTCTTCTAAGACATACTTGTCTTACAGAGACAGAATTTTAAACAACTTCGCCAAGTGAAATTTAAAGAACAAACATTGAAAAAATTACAATGATTGTAAACACTGAACTTGGAAAGTTTGTAAGATTTACCCGTTAACTTATATGCAAACCAGAACAGAAAGAAGAAACAAGAAATTCATTAACTATCCATCAAAACTGGGCGAGACACCTTCCTTAAAGTAAGTAAACATGAAGAACTGTAGCCAGATTGTGGGGACGATCTCCGGTGTTCTCACTCTCACCAGGTCAAGACTTCACTCTCACCAGGTCAAGACTTCACTCTCACCAGGTCAAGACTTCACTCTCACCAGGTCAAGACTTCACTCTCTTCATTCCTTTTGCTGTTTTTTTTAACTAAGAATTACTTTTGTT